TGTATTATAGTGGGTAACTGGTCGTTTGATGACAGAAAAAAAGCATAATAAACAAGTGAATATAAGGTGTGAGATCAAGAGAGTTGATGGGAGTTGATTAAAGAGAGAGTTCATGCCAGAGTTAGTTCGTGATAGTGCAGTGGACTCTTGTTCATGGCTCATGTTGTTAATACCGGTAGTCAGTTATGATGAGATATTGTAACCATCTAGATCTGCGTGACATATACACATAATGATGAGGAACCATTTTATTTCATGAAGTGTTGGTTTTCTAGTATTCAGTGTGAATGTTTCTTAGTTCATGTGGTGACATTTTACAGTGTAACCTAGGCAATGTTGATACAAATACTCCAAGAGTTTCAACTACAGAAACAGAGCATTCTGAAACTTAACACTCAAAAGATAATTCAATTGGAACAAGTAATAGCATTAAACAGTCTATTTTTTTTTTACTAAAGTCATTTTTTGATCCTAAGGAGACAAAGTTTTTGGTACAAGTAATTTCAATAATTTTAGAGATTTAAATTTAAATTTAAAAAAATTTGATACCTTTTAATACTCAAATGAGATGTTTCCTAATTACCTACACACGGCTTCTTGACCTTCATTCTGACACAGTTCATTATCCAAACATGGGTCAATTTTCTTTTTTGTATCACATGGCTTGTCATCCTTGTTGACTTTAAAATGCAAATGTGAACGTAAAGAAAAAGTTGTTCAAATATTTTTCTGAACTTAGCCTTACTCTTGTTGATTTATTATTTATTTTAACTACAAAGCTTCCATTGAAAAATTAAACATTAAATAGTAATTTTTTACATATTGATAAGATAGCAATTTTAGTAGCTATGCTGTGCTTACTAGATTATAGATGCATTAATGTAGATATTGGTTAAATACTAGTAATAAATTTTCCTCTACTCAATCAGTTGTTGATCTAGATTCACCTCATTAAAACATGTTGTCGAATTCTTTAAATCCAAGCAAACACTGTTGTGCATAATTTTCAGCAGAAAATTGAGTAAAGCCAATTCAGGTTTGGCTAATCCGCCTGTATTCAATGTGACATCAGCATCAACTATTAAACTCCCTTTTTCTAGAGAAGAAAACGATAAGATAATAATTTTTAAAATGGTTAAATGTTTTAATATTGTAGAGAACCTTGGCCGTCTCTGTTCTACCCTTGTTCCCTAAATACTTTATCTGAATGGCAACCTCGTTCACTCTGTCTCTCATACAGTAACAATCAGGTAATACCATACTGATGTTTAGCCTTTCACTTTAATGATCAGCTATAATGTTCACACTCAAGTCTTTGGAACTCTGCTCTAAAGGAAGAGGTACACCCTGAACATAGGTCGACTACTGTAGCAACGGTAGCAAAGCAGAGTCGCTATAGAAGAGGTAGCAAAGCAGAGTCCGCTTAACAAGAGGTAGCAAAGCAGAGTCGCTATAGAAGAGGTAGCAAAGAAGAGTCCGTTATAGAGGAGGTAGCAAAGCAGAGTCGTTGTTTTTGTATAGACGCAGTGCCCTGCTATTAATGGCTACACGCCAATTTGTTTTGACGAGACGTAAATAGATCAAAAGAGCCAGATTTCTAATTATTATCAGTTTAAAAAACATACGTGTACTTGTTAAAATGGCATTATGTTCCATGCCTACCTATTTCTTAGCCAATGGAGATAAAATAATGGTTCATAGCATTTGACTTTCCCTTAGAGTAAAATAATAAGCGTACCTACAGGTAATCAATATCTTTAGAGTAGTGGTTCTCAACCTTTCTAGTGCCGCGACCCCTTAATACTGTTTCTCGTGTCGTGGCGACCCCAAGCACACAACTACTTTCGTTGCTACTTCATAGCTGTAAGGATATATGTTGTCAGATTGTCTTAGGCGACCCCTGGGAAAGGGTTCCGCGACCTCCAAAGGGGTCGCGACCCACAGATTGAGAACCGCTGCTTTAGAGTATAAAACATTTTAACGTTTATATTTCACCCGAGGATCAGAATGTCTTAACCATCTTTCTGTTATCCTGCAGAAGAAGACGCGCAGCAGGTTAAATAAACTAAAAGGGACCAGATTCGGAAACTGAAAATAAGCAGGTGGTCAGTGTTATATCAGGCAGCCAATAAATATCCCAACAGTACAAAACAATGATTTGGGTCAACTGTTTATAATGCTTTTCATCCACCTAACATATAAAAGCATTAGGATGATTGTCATCCAGCCTGTCATACTATAGCATTAGAATGATTGTCATCAACCTAGCATACAATAGCATTAGAATGCTTAGAGTCTCATGGGCGGATAACATTGGCACAATGAAATATTCAGACAACTCCTGCGACGCCACTGTTGTCCAGCTGTATATTCCCTTGGGTTATCCAGCGATGTGGAAAGAGACGATTTGCTGCGTAGGGAACCAGCTTATAAACCTAAAAAAAAAAAAAAAAAGAGAATCCCATGCCTTGTAGATTTCGTCATGCGAAGTCTACGCCATCGTCACAATATGAATGCCGGATGCATCACAGTACCTAAGTCGACCAACTCTGGTTCGGTCTGACCACATCACAGTGCCTACGTCCACCAACTCTGGCTCGGTCTGACCACACCGCAGTTAGGGGACCAACTCTAACTCTGGCTCAGTCTGACCACATCACAGTACGTCAACCAACTCTGATTCGGTCTTACCACATCACAATAAGTCGACCAAGTCTGACTCGGTCTGACCACATCATAGTACGTCGACAAACTCTGGCTCGGTCTGACCACATCAAAAGTACGTCGACCAACGCTGGCTCAGTCTGACCACATCAAAGTACGTCGACCAACTCTAGCTCGTAGGCTCACCTTCAGAGCTAAAAAACCAGAACATGTCCACACCCTACAAACCCGCTCCACTAATTACAGCAGCAGAATTAAAGACAGGCGCTGATGTAACGCACGTACTCTTATTTCAAACGCCTGGACGCCAGAGAGTTCCCAGGGGTAGTTTATGTTTTGCTTGGTGATTACATCTTCATCATCCTAAGTACGCCGGTACAGGTAAGCTAAACATCATGGGTGGGGGGGGGGGGCTGGAAAAGAGGGGGGAAGTTTGGTGTGGAACAGTTCTGGCAGGCACGTGTTTAAAGATCGTGAGAACGTTCAGAAAATATCAGACTCGGTTCACACAGTGACGATATGTTTTGCTTGGTGATTACATCTTCATCATCCTAAGTACGCCGGTACAGGTAAGCTAAACATCATGGGTGGGGGGGGGGGCTGGAAAAGAGGGGGGAAGTTTGGTGTGGAACAGTTCTGGCAGGCACGTGTTTAAAGATCGTGAGAACGTTCAGAAAATATCAGACTCGGTTCACACAGTGACGTGACGTCATAGTGCGGTGTCAAAAAGATCAATGGGTAATTGCATAAGTGGTGCGTACATCCACAAAGCAGTTATCAAAGAAGTGCACACAGAGGTACATGAAAAGGAGAGGGTATTGGGGATGGTTCTACCCTGGACAATGTTGTATCTACGAGGGGTGCGGGAAGGCTGGGGTGCACATATGCACCGCATACACAGTGGTAAATCGACATACGAGTGCCCTAAAATACGAGAATTTTGAGATACGAGCCGTTGATCGAGCGATGTTATGCTTTGAAATACGAGAAACATTTGAGATACCAACAACTGAGTCAGCGAATTGGCCGGCTGCACACGACACACCAGGACAGGTTATTGTTTTAAGCGGCCTGCAGGTGAAAGTATGAGGAAAGCGTGGCGAAAAAGGCAGAGACCAGTGAAGAGAAAAAGCAGTGACAAAAATTAAGCGAAAGTAACAAAAAATTGCACAGTAGCATATGTTTATTTTATGTTCATTGAAGTTTAGGGATGAAGTGTAGCATTAAGAGTGTAATGAGTAAGTAAATGTAAGTGATCAAAGGTTTAGCATTAAAAGAGTAGTGAGTTAGTAAACAAAGTGAAGCTCCTTCGCCTATCTCCTCCACCCCAAAACTTCGCCAGCATCTTCCGTAAGCTCAAATCGGCTTATTTCCAAAGTAATTACACTTAAAACCAGTTTATTTATTTACATTATCTTTTATTATGTTTTAATGCAATATTTATAGTTTATAAATACATTTTTCTACTTCAAAAACACTTAACAAAAACAATTGGGTAGGCATTTTGGGGGCTGGAGAGGATTAATGGCATTTCAATTGGGAAAATTGCTTTGAGATTCGAGCAAATTGTCGTACGAGCAAGGTTACGGAACGAATTAAATTCGTATCTCGAGGTACCACTGTAAATATATAACCCCCACCCCCATTTCACGATAAACTCTGCAATTGGCTAAAAATGCACCGCCCCTTTCTACACGACAATTTGTTATATAGTTTATCCCCCTTTCACTGGAGCTTCATCACAAAATTAAATAACTGACGGCACGCGATTTTCCTTTGTTTATGCTGACGAAAATGAATGTGAAGAGGAGATAAAATGTTTTTAATTAAAAATGCTAAAATACTACAACTGCTAAATGGCCTCAAGAATAGGATAATCTCAAATAAGAAAAGATATCACTAGCGGGTTGAACTTGAAAATTGGTCTATCAGGTGTCAGGATTTATCTACTACTGTAAATCTCAATCTTTATAATAAAAACATTTTGCCAAATCTTATTAACCAAATCCGTTGTCGTAAATAACAATATAGTCTGAGCTATTAAATGGTTACCATTTTATTTTTAAACATTCAAATTTATTTTTTTTAAAATACATGTTGCCTGCACAATTACAGAATATAAAATAAAAACAACAAATAAGTGAGAAAATTATGATTAATTTTGATCAACATGGAATTGGAAACAGATTTATTGTTTTGTTTTTATTCACAATTATTCTAAAAAAGTTAATCTTAACATCATGACCTGAAAAAATAGCATTTGAAAGTGATATTTCATATTTACATGCATAGAACATGCAGAAAATAGTTATTTTATTTCATTAAAATTACAAGAGTGACAGCAAAAATGAACTGTTTGTTAATGAAATGAATCAGGACATCAGTTACATCAAATATAAAAATTCTGTTATAGCAACAAAAAAAACAACAATCATGTATTTAAATGAATATTAAATGAATATTCTGCCAGTTAGAGTGAAATTGAACAATTTGGTAATACAATGAGAAATCGTGAGCACAACTTTAATTTAATTTCAGTCACCTAGTACTGCACATGAGGGTCTTCTATAAATGAACTTATTTTCCTGGGCCTTTCAATACCTGAGAAAAAAAAAAGAAATGGCATCAATAAATCTGAAAATTAGGCGTAGTAATATTTTTTAATATAAAAATATCATTTTTATAATTAAAAAAGAACAACAAAAAGCCAACAAAATATCTATTTTGATGTATTATTTAACTATTTCATTCTGCCATACATATTTAATTAGTGCACACAAAAACCATTTGACAATGCCAGACTACTTTAAGTTCAGATGCATGAAATGTAGAGTTTTAAAAACTATATATTTGAGTCAAATAGAGAATAGATATATATCTATATATTTGTCATAAAAGACAGCTGACCTTGTGGAATTCTATAGTTATGGTACAACTCATCATACTTGTGTCTACTTATATTATCTTGGCGGGACATCCTCCCCTCAGATCTGTTCATTGTTTGCACAACTTCATCACTGTGTCCTGAAATTTTGTGCTGATATTTTAAAACCATGATGCATTGTAAAATGTCTGTTTTTTCCTCGTCATAGAAATTTTGGAATTAGAAGACAGTCTAATAATTAGGACAATTGGCTAAAAAGGGTAGACTATCTTGTTTCATTGGAAATAGGCTTATATAAAATTTTAAATTCACGCAGTGCAAGATATAGCAAAAATTATTTTCCTCTGCTGCTTATAAAAGAAACAACCAGAGTGGTCTCTGAAATAAGTTAAAAGCTGGATTTGGATTTACAGGATAAATTACTGGGCCTATAAAAAGATGAATTTGGTTAATTTAAAATATCATGTTTGATCCAGATTATTTCAAGCCAAATTTCTGGGCACATTCATTCAGTTCTCAAAACGTTTCCCACTCGCACACCCTCAGACCCCATCATTGAATCTCAGAGTGCTGAGTCATCCCACACTCTGCCAGTAGTGTAGCAAGAGTTAGTGCCACCTGGGGCTGGCTTAGATTTTTGTCACCTGCATTTAGCCAAAAATGCCACCCATAAATAAATAGAAAAATGTGCAACACTGGGTGGACAACACCCTCTTCCCCCTCTCTTCTAATACAATTGCCACTTCCCACCATACAATCCATCAATGATTTTGTTTTCTTAATGCAATTTGTATTATGGGTATGGAATGAGGCTTGGGTAATGGAGTAGAGACAGAAAGCAACAAAAAACACATGAATTTCCGTAATTAATACATGATTATTACCCCTATTGTTGTCTGGATGTTCTTCAGTTTGGTTTACCACTATTTGTCCCCCTTGGCTTTGTGTTCTAGAAGTTCGTCGAATTTTCCTAAAAAAAGTTGAGAGAAAAAATTCATGAAAAATCAAAAGGCAATAGCAATTAAAATTAAATTTGATATGATATACTTGTTCAGGTGTTATTTTTTCAAAACTGAATTAGCACAATTTGCAATTTGACTATTATATGTTGATTTAATTTTTTAACAGAACTTTAAAAATTTAACACAATTTTTAACATTTAACCTGTACATGCTGCATATTTAGAAAATAAAGAAATTGAAAAAAAAGTATTACTCAAACATCAAACATGATTTGACAATGTTGAGTTTTTACAAATGCCCTGAATAAAAAAAATATGTGAAGTTCCAATCAATTGATGCTAATACTTACATATGTCTTGATTCTGTGGGAAGCTGGCGCAAAGGAATAGATGTATCTATCTTTTTCTCAAAGCTGTCCTTCTTTTTTACCCATAACACTGTTCCAATCACTATAGCTGCTACTAGTATTAGGAATATTGATATCCCAAAAGACATTCCAATGATGAACTGCATATGGTCTGATTGTGAGATGCATATTCAAGATACGCAACAAAAAAAGATCCCTTAATGGTTGATGATTTGTTAGATCATACAAGCTGATTTTAAACAATGTATCACAACATATGTTTATATATATATTGTTTAATCTTAAAAGCTGGTTAAATACAATAAGATTATATTTATTAACATTAATTGAAAATTTTTATTTTGCAATATTTCTTTGGCTTTATACAGATTGTTGTATGGACGCATGGCGTTACTGTTAAAGCAAAAATGAACAGTTAAAACCTACCTTTTGCAGCAATAACTCTGAAATAGAAAATATTGGAAAATATCAACCAAACTTTAAATTTATTAAAATGTAAGAAAATATTCAAACAATGTCATTTTAAAATAAATCATTAAGTGTATGATAATGATTTTATTTTTTAGGATTAATACCAAATTACTTATTCAGCACCATACTTTGAGATTTTTATACATTTCATATTACATTAAGTACACATTTTTTAATGACTATGCAAATGTATTTTTATACATGGAAAATACATTTCCCACTACAGCAGTAAGTTGTAATAGCAGTACACTAAAAATAATACAATTTCTTCACTGGATTTTCCTTTACACTAAATACATGATTCAAGTGGAATAAGAAGTAGCAATAATTTACGTATTTCTCACAATAGTTCACGATTTGGTCCTGAGGACACACAGTTTTTGGTATAAGACCAAATTTTTGAGGGGTTTATGTTAAGATTTTTAAAAAATGATTTCTTTATGCCTTTTAATACTCAATTGAGATGTTTCCAAAATACCTGCAGACAGCTTCTTGACCTTCATTCCGACACAGTTCAGTCTCCAAACATGGGTCAATTTTCCTCTTGGTATCACATGGCTTGTCATCCTTGTTGACTTTATAATTCAAATGTGAATGTAAAGAACAAGTAGTTCAAATATTTTTCTGAACTTAATCTAATTGACTTATTACTCACAGTAATATGTATAAATATAGGCCCATATCTTAAATTTAAATTAAATTTACTGTTGTGTTGTTCTACTGATGAAAGCATTTGCTAAAACCTTTACTTGTGTATTATGTAAAATTATTATTAAAGCTTAACATATATTGTTTTATTGACAAATTTTTCGTGTCTAATCAATCTCATTTTAATACAAAAGTTCTCATTGATAAGGTAAATATTAAATAATACATGTCTGCATATTGAATAGATAGAAATTTTTAATATCAATGCAGAGCTTACTGGATTATAGACAAATTAATGAAGTGATAGGGTGTAATGTCAGTGATAACGTTGCCTCTACTCACACAGCTGTTGATTCAGGTTCAATTCATTCATACATGTTGTTGAATTCTTTAAATCCAAGCAAACATTGTTGTGCATAATTTTCAGCAGAACATTGAGTAAAGCTGATTGAGGGTTGGTTAATCCATCTGTATTCAATGTGACATCAGCATCAACTATTAAGCTGCCTTTCCTAGAGAAGAAAATACGATAAGATAATTATTTTTAAAAAAATGGTTAAATATTTTATTATTTAAATAATAGGCCTACTTGAGACAAAAGGCAATCATAAGTTTAAATGAAATTAAAGAACCATGTTTGTGGTAATGAGAAAATTTATTTTTAATAAATGGAAACTGATGTTTAACTTAGAGGAAAAACTACTTGGAATAGATCGAATTTTTTTTTCTCATCAACATATCTGGTCTGACTAATTCTGATTTCATATAATTACATGATGCATTTTTCATTTATCCTAAACATTTTTGCTTTCCTGCCATGACAACATATCATGTTACCGATTTTAAGAATATCTCTTACCTCATATCAGTGACATTGAATAAAACAACTGCAGGCAATAATTCAGAAAGTTTCTCAAATAGCTGAAATGCAGTTATTATAATTTTTTTATTCATTAACCTCAAAATTTAATTTAATCAAAACATTCTTATTTAAGGGTTGTTTTGAAATAATTTAAGATTTATAAAAATACAATATAAATTGTTTTGACAATGTAAATTATATTTTTATTCATTAAATCAATAGCCTTAAGGTGCAACAAAATTTATAAAATGATAACTAGACAAAATGAAATTTAACACAAAGAGAATGATTAGTCTGACCCTCTACCAGTGCAGAGTTTTTAATTTACTATTTTCCTTTCTTAAAATTTTTTTTTTCATCTGAAGAAGATTGTAACATTCACTGTTTTTGTAGTTTGTAGTATTTGAGATTAATTGTCTCCTAAAATTTTTCACTTTTTTTTACTCTTCATTTGATACATTTTTACTTCTTCCAAATAATTTATCAATTAACAAGGTTTAGACTTAAAATTTCTGGATTTTTCATAAGCAAAAACATTTTAAAGCGTATTAAAATACTTATAATAAACAAATAAAAAGTATAATATTAGGAATTACTTGATTTTCTATATCTCCTTTGATATAAATATAATTTTCTGTTAAATGTTGAGATAAATCCAAAGATGAAGCATCATAATCAAACACAACTGTTATAGGAATGACTACTGTCTCAGCTGTGACCTCTGAAACGATACAGTTAACACTTTGTTATTCATTTTAAGATCACAAATATTTTTTTTCATATTCAAAATGATTAACATGTTAATATTTGAAATCATGTTGCATTGTTTTACTTACAGACCCAATACTACAATTGACTTTTAACAAAATTAAAGGCAATCAGATAAATATAACACTTACTTGGTTTACTTGAACAGTCAGAACCAATCCAACCTTGTTTACACACACAGGATCCATCAGTTTTGTTGCATAGAACTGAATTCTCCATTTTACAGTTGCATCTCTCAGAACAGTTTACTCCATAATTTCCATTATCACAAACTTAAGATACAAATTTTAAAAAAAAATTCATTGAATCTTTTTCCAATTTTATTCAATCCCTATAAGAATACAAATACAAAATAGGTGAAGATTGGAATCAATCATTTACTTTATATAAATTAGCAAATGTCCTATATAAATTTAATTCTGACAATATCTACATAAATCAAGATAACATGATATCAGAAGAAATAAACCTATTAAAAAACATTAATTTTTACCTTTGCAATCACAGGATGGGCAAGGTTTCATGTGACCAATATCACAGTTACAATCAAAACCACCATTAGTGTTTCGACACACTTGGTGTTTGCTTGGGTCACAGTTGTGAGTTTCACTAGCGCACTCATCCACATCAGTTTCACAACCATCTCCACTCCAAGCTGGTAGACATTTGCAAGAACCGTTCACATTGTCACATGTCATGTGTGGGCCACACTGGCAATGGCTTAAACATGATGAACCAAAAAAGCCTTCACTACACTCTGAAAAACCATATATTTTTGTACAGCATAGATAACACTAAAGTATCAGGTAGAAATGCCTCAATTGAATTATTCTATTTAAATAAAAATAATGTTTAATAATGAATAGTCTATAGCATGCTTATACTTAGCTCTGAAGTTTTACAATGAATTTTATGTATTATTTGTTGAATATTTTAACTAAACATTGTTCAACCAACTACTATCTCTTTAGTTTTGAAGATGCCATAAATATTTCATTTGTTGACTCTTGACATTTTCTAACCTTTCCTGTTTTCTTTCACAAAAAAAAAGCAGCAAACATTCTAGTATTTAAAAGTTTTGAATTTTTTCAAAACACCTATGCAGCTTTATATATAACCCTATATGAATGTTATAGTTATATCCATCCCACTCTTACTGGCCAAAAAAGATTTCTTAAAAGTTATCACAAATTTGTATGCTAACAGTTTAAACCTACAGCATTTAGAGCAACAGACTGAATAATAAAATTAAAGCCTTTAAAATTATGAAACAATTTTAAGACAAATAGTAATTTATACATACATTTTATTGGCATAAAACTGTTATCTTTTCAATTTCTATTGAGAAAATAATTTTCAATGATAAAAAGCGATCATTCTAAGTCATTAAATATTTTTTTATTATTAAGTGTTTCAACATTCACCTCGACATTTCCATATAGTATTATTATCTGGAACATAACCATCATTGCAACTGCATTTAAAAGAGCCATTGGTATTGTCACAATGAGAATGTTCAGGGCAGGAGCTTGAGTCATCTATGCATTCATCTATGTCTGTTTGACACAGGTTTCCTTTCCAACCCCTTTTGCAAATACAAGTGCCATTTACTTTATCACAAAACTTTGTGTTGGCTTTTTCACAGCTGCAGCTTTTACCACAGTTCTCACCATATTTATCAGCTTCACAGACTGGAAATATGTAAACAATTAAAAATTGTACTTGTGTTTAATTTTAAGTGTCTTCAAAATGTACAGATTTAGATGACTGTTTTTCAGGAGGCAAGTTAGGTTGCCATGCCTACAAATTATAAATGTAAATATACAGGATGGTGCAAACAAAAAAATGTGGGACCTTCTTGCGATATTTTATGCAATATAATATTAAACTATATTTTGGGAAGTTTTAAAATGGTAAAATTATCCAAACGTACTAACTCAGCATTCAATGTCCCTACTTCATTAACTTCAGGATACAATCTTTAAATTTTTAGAATTTTTGTGTGATGACAAAAAAAAATTTAAAAAAATCGTATCTTGTCAAAAAAATTGGGTTGAGGTGAATTATTACTGGGGTTCTGAATAAAGCATGGAGTAAAACAAGTCTTAATTGACTTTGTGAAAAAAAATGAAAACAATAGTAAAATAGCACAAATAACGAGAAAATGTCCACAGGAAGTTCAATGTAACAGTGCAGAACATAAAGTGTGTGAATTAGCCGATTAGCTGCAAGGGTGGTGATCAACATAGTCACAACAGTCCATTGGAAATTAGCATATTAAGATGAACAGTGCAACATATGGTAAAGCAAGATCTGCAACTTCAAACATACAAACGCATAATAGGGTAGGATAAAAAATGAAAATTATAATATCAGAAATGAAAGGTTACTTTTTAGATTTC